AGCTCACCAACTCCAGCTGGACCTGGAAGAAACTAGCATGGGCCCAAACTAGTCCCTCTGAATATGGGTGACAGTTGCATGGTTGAGGCAGACTGTGGGGCCACTGGCAGTGGCACCAGAATTTATCCTTACTGCTGGAATTGGCTTTCTGGGAACCTATTAGCTTTAAAAATTTGTTTTTAAAATCAGTTTTAGATGATTTTTAATGTAATCATTCATATGTACATGTGCCTGTGTTCTCATACAAACCTTTTAATGTACGATATTTTTCCTTACACAAATGTCCCCTGTAACCTGCCTTCGATAGTCCGGATGCTGAGTTTTAAAAGGAGCAATTGATGCAATGTCTTGACTGGTAAAGCAGTCGCTGTCAGACATGAAGACCCTGAGTTAATAATCCTAACACCAAATATCCAGACCCAGCTGCTGCTGAGGGCCGTGTCTGGGTCCATGGTCCTGCTGGGGCTGGAGTCTGTGTTGAAGTCCAAGGCCAGCAACTCTCCCACTGAAGCCTGGGGCTGGGCCTCAATTTGAGGCCTTGGTGGTGTCTGGGGACCATGCCGCTGCCAGAGCCATCCTGATCTGTGTGGTCAGCGCTTCCACCCAGAGCCAGGATGTCATCTGGGCTCAAGATGGTGCTGAGGGCCATGTCTGGATCCATAATCCAGCTGCAGTTGGGTCTGTGACCTGTGTCACCTCGGGGACCATAGGAACCATGCATGATGAAATCAGAGAGCCATGATGAGCCGGCCCTGTCCTTCACTGGCACTGAGAAAGATGACCCTGCCCCATGCTAGACATTGTAGCAAGAGAACTGACCCCAAACCACTCAGAAGAGATGGCCACACCCCTCACCACAGGCCTCCAAGACTGACCCAGATGGCATGGGCATAGGGGAGCAGGCTCCAGCCCCACAGCCAGGCGTTGGCTCGGACCACCCTACAGCTGCCCCATGCAGGACCCGCTGGGGCTTGTGAAGTGACTCACTCTGTGGAATCTCCACGACTCTGGGTGGCAGCAGGCTATCCCAGAGGAGTTCTGGTGAGGATCCAGTGACAATGGTGTGTCAGAAACCAGAGGCCTTGAACCGGACCAATGGCTCATTGAACATTCGCTAGCAATACTGACTGGACAGAAGGGTGTACTGTGTGACACACTGAGGCTCCCAGTGCCACCAGGATGAATGAAGAGGTTTTGGAGAGGCGGGACAGATGGAGGAGCAAAGAGGTTTTGGGGGGTTTTATTTTGTTCTTGTTTGTTTGTTTGCTTGCTTGTATGCCTTGTTTTGTTTTTCTTTTAATTTCTTTTTTGGGGGAAGCTGCAGGAGTGAGGGGAGAATGGGGGGAGACTGGGAGGGGAGCGTAAGTTGGGGTCATGATGTGAAATTCCCAAAGAATCAGTAAAGAAATTATGTTAAAATAAAGAAAGCAAAACCAATCCTAGCACTAAGGTAAAAATCTGAGATGGTGCTTGCTTGTAATCCCGGCTTTGGGGAGGTGGAGACAGGTGGGTCTCTAAGGCCCAATGACCACCCTGCCACCTAGCCGGATCCTAGGGAGAGACCCTATCTAAAAAAACAAGGCAGAAGTCTCCTAAGGAAGACACTTAGGGTTGACCTGTAGACACACACATACACATGCACACCCCTACCCACAAGCAAGTCAACAACAGGAACAAAATAACTCAAACAAAAAGACCAAAGCAAGGAGGAGGTGACCACAGTCTGTCTTGTTGGTCAGCCCCTCCCAGAGATTATTTGCCTCGGGTCCAGAGGAAGGAAAACGGACAATTCATGATACATGTTATACAGTAAAACAGAACACACAGAGGCTTTTTTATTTCTTGGCAGTTTGGTTAGCACGCAGCAATTTCGAACTTTCCAGACTAAACAGTTCTAATTGGTAAATGGATGGTTTGATTTGAAATGGTGGCACAGGAGAAAAAATTCCCAATGTGGGGTAATTGTTTATGAGTCGTTGGCAGATTACTGTTAACCAGCCTTCATGTTTGTCTTTGAGGGGCAAAATGAAAGCGAGTGAGCTTATTTCACACTTCATTGAAGGGAAATACTTATCTGGACAAAGAGGAGCTACGGGGCGAGGAAAGATTCTCTCTGCTTGTTACAACCAACTAGACTCAACGTTTTCTTTTTCTGGTGGGTGAGGGAAACACTAACCATGAAGTACGCGTCTTCAGCGGACAGTCAGAGTCCCCTGCTTCCCCGTCAAGTTACTGTGAAGATAACATTGGCACACAGGCCTCACTGAGGTGTGTAGCCTAGGGTAGCAGAGAGGAGGTGGTTGCTGTCCTGCTCAGTTTGAGTTATCATCCCATTCTCCGTAAAAGAGCTTCTTAGATTATATGAGAGTCAGCTTCACGGCCCACAGCTTCGTAATGTGAGCCTGTGAGAAGTACCTCTCATTTGCACTGATTCATAAGTCATAGTTTAGCTACCTAATTAGGCTTCAAATATTGGAATTATTTAGTGACTACCCTTTTAAAAGATTTCACAGCCTCTCTTGATGGCTTACACTGTTGTTTAATTATCCTGCAAATTCATGATGTTTTTCTTGATCTTTAAATACTTCCCCTCTGTTTCTCTTTTGTGGAGTCAGAGATGGGGAACTTGTTAGAACAGAGGGCACTTAAAGTGTTTGTCCTTGTGGGGAACAAACAAGAATTTAGAATTCCTCATTCCTTCTGTCCTTCTGAATCTGATGGCTCTATCATATTTTAGTTTTCAGGTTTTTTTGCTCTGCTTATTATTACTGTTATTTATTTATTTAAAGTAATATTATCAAGCGTGATGACTCAAGACAGCAATTTTCGCTCCTTTGGAGGCTAAGGCAGGAAGGTTGCAGGTTCAAAGCTTGCGTGGGCTTCAGGATCAGATCAAGACCAGTCTTGGCAATTTATTAAGAGCCTTTAACAAAAATTTTTAAAAGTGGAAACCATGCTGGGAATGTAGCTTAGGGGCAGTGGATTTACCCAGCATGCATGAGACCCCAGCTTTCCGTAGGCAAGACAATGCTTAATTTCCTTGTAATCTGTAAATAGGCCAGCTGTTTCTAGTTCTGTGTCCATTTCTATGACGTGTTGATGACAAAGTGTGCCAAGGAAGCCTTTTGTATTGAGTTCTAGAAAGTGAAAGAGTACATGTGACTTCCTGTTGCATATCATTGTAGTTCTGAAACACTCTCGCCTGGTGTAGTCTCTGTACATAGTGGGAGTTGATAAATGCTCACTCGTGGCTTTGCTTGAATACCTAATTGGAGCCTCGATCTTAAGATATCCAAGCTGAACTCAGTGGTAGGCTGTCCGGTTCCCCTAGGGCCAAAACCCAAGTCTTTCTCCTTGATTATTCCTACATAATGTGACCAAGACATGCTGATCCCATCTGCTAAAACATTTCCAGAGTCACTGGTAATCGATGCTGCTTTCTAGTTCGCTCCTGGTGGTCTGTCCGCCCTCTCCTTGACAGATGTGGAAAGAATCAGTCTTTCTGCACACTGTTGTAGTGTATAAAGTGAGGACAGGACCTCTCCGAGGTATGGTTGAGGGGAAAGTTTTTATTGTAGATATGAATGAGAATACAGCCTGAGACATCTGGAAGAGTTCAGAGCAGGGAGAGAAAGCAGTAGACTAAACATGGCCAACAGGCTGGACCACGCCATAAGAGAGGGGTGGAAGTGAGAGAGGAAGCTAAGACAGTGTGTGTAGACAAAGGAGACCAAGAGAGAGAGTCTAAAGGGAGGACCAAGAAAGCACATGACCAAAATGACAGGGTTATATGGAAGAGAAGTCGGGGGGGGGGCAGGAAAGCCCATGAGCTAGGGACATTTAGGGTAGGGGTAGGATGAGAGGAGCCAGGAAGCCAGCATGGACTCTGTAACAGGTATTTGTGATTCTGAGAAAGCCTGGAGGTCAGCTTGTGTTTTGGTGTGCCAATAGGTACTAGAGTTAGCCATTTGTCCAGACTTTCTTTGGGGCGTGACAAGTAGCTCTTTGTTGTGCTTGGACAAAGCCCCAGACTTTATGTAGCTTACAAACCCACTGTGATATGTCCACTGCATGTCTCTCTCTCTCTCTCTCTCTCTCTCTCTCTCTCTCTCTCTCTTTCTCTCTCTCTCTCCCTGGCTGTTTTCTTTCTCCTACAAGAATTAATTCAGCTCCCTAAATGCACCCAGCCAGCCCTCCCTGACCTCTTTACCCCTGTCTTGGAACTTCTAGCTCTTTCTGCCTCCTGCCAGTGTCTCTGTTTACCAGGTTTCCAAATACCTTGCTGCCGTAGACTTGAGCTTCATTTTCTTCAATGCCATGTCTAAACAAATTTACACTTTTTCCAGGTATCTGAGTATTTTTAAAACTGCCGTAAGAGAATTGGTTTGGTTTTTATTCAAATGATGGAAAAACCAAAGCACTGTGTAAAGAAACTTGTGCCATGTGACCAGGCATCTCAATGGGCAGGAAAGGGTGCTAGCTTTGCAATTTTGGATACCTACATTTTGTTGTGCCTAGGATTGAGTGGCACTCCTTGCTCATGGAATGAGTTGAATTGCTTTATGAATCTCAACCTGAGGCTGAGTTGCCTCTCTCTACACTCAAAGGAGCCTCTGTTTCATCATGCATTCTCGGGACGAGTGAGGCCAGATTCCCCTGTAGGCCCTCTTCTTTTGGAAGGAAATATGCCTCGCAAGAGAAGCTGTGTTGCCCTGGTGGGTTTCTTCAGCATCAGCTGGCATGGATCAGAAGAGCTTTCATCACGGTGGTCATTAATGACAATCTACATATTTTAGTCACTTATAAAATGGCCGGCAGTCTGCACAACACAAGAAATACCTCTCTCTCCCGGCATGAGAAATCTGGTGACCCAGCTGTTTCAATAGGTGGCCTGTGTGTGTGTTTCAGCCCTGGTGACAACTGGCACCGGGTCCCCTGCTCTACTGGAAACAATTCTGTTTGGTGGTTTTAACGCAACGTTATTGTTTTTCTTGCTGCAGATTGTTCTATCAAGAAAATGGCCATTTCTTCAAACTCATGCCTGGCCGTCATCTCCTTGTTGTGTTGTTGGATGAGGACAGCATCCTCTCTGAACCTGGAAGACCCCAATGTGTGCAGCCACTGGGAAAGGTAAGGGTCCCGAAAGTAGCCAGAGCGGTCTATTCCATTATCCCCACAGGCCTGATGCATAGACCTGAAATCTGAGAAGACACATTGAAGTGGCTTTTCTGGAACAATCAATTTGATAAGTTGAGTCATGTTACTGCCCCTGGAATGCATGTTTTGTGTGTGGGGGAACATCTGGCTCTAACACGGGCACAGTGGTAAGATGGAGGGAAACAGTAACTGAGCTAGAGTTTGGGTGGAAGTCTGTGAGCACTTATCCAAACGTGGTGACGTGAGGCACTGGATCCATGCGTGAGGCTGTTGCATCAACAGTGAGAAGCAGCCTGGTGTAATGCGTTATACAAATATTTTGAACTGTATGGGATCGAAGCAGTTGTGCCGTGGGTACCTTGGTGGTCAGAGCTAGGCCTGGTCCAAGCCAGGTGTAGCATGGTCCTTCTATCCCAGCTCCTCACGAGGCTGAGGAAGGAGGATCACAAGTTCAAGCAAGATCTGCCATCACTATGAAATCAGTTTTAAGACAGAGTTCGCAACTTAACAAGAGCTTGTCTCAAAATGGGAGTGGAGTTAATGGCGGGGGCGGGGGCAGGACTGTGGCACTCTTGACTTGGATTAAATCCCAAACGTTAAACAAATTGCAGCCTGATTTTTGAATGAACAGGGAAGGTCGCGTGGAGGCAAAGAGGCAGTATCCCCTGAGGTGTTCTGGAAGATGGGAGTGGATAGCAGCTTGGGATTGGGGAGGGGGCTTCTACAGATGGAAGACAGCTTGAAGCTGGTGTCTTGAAGATCACATAGAACTGCATTCAGAACAGTCAGTGGGGCACTGGAGATGGTAACATCGGATAGATTACATGAAGACAGAAGACGGAGTACCCAGGTGGGAGATTCACAGTAGCAAATATCCAAATTGCACAAAATTAGAGATCACCTTAGGGATCTTCCAGTTCCCGCTGAAGCCGAAAACGCCAAACCTGCCCTATCTGGTACAGTGTCTGCAGTGCAGGCTGCAGAGCTGCCTGGGGGCCTCAGGAACAAGGGCAGTTGTTACCCCACAAAGTAACAGTTCATCAAAAGGCTTTCCCAAGCAGACGGTGTTCAGTACTTACATCACGAGGTGCATTTGGACTGGCTGAAGCACAGTCTCACCAGCTCTCGGGGACATTTTTGTGTCACGCTCAGTGCCATGATTAACAACGAGCAGAGGGCTGGGAACATGACAGTGACTTCCACCTGGTGTTATGTACATTTTAGAACCAGATCTTACTGCCACCTCTGTTGGCAGCGTAGAATCTGGGTAATAAAACGCAATTACTTTATCAATGAATGAAGTTACAGAACACGAAACTTTATGCTGTAGAGAAAATAGGTAATATAAGTTGTTTGAATTTATGGTAGTAACAGTGTCATACAGAATGAAAGGAACACGCACCTACTAACTACCTTTATCATCTTAATGGCATCGTCCCTAGGATATTTCAGTCAGGAAGTGTGCAATAGATAATACTAAAATAGTAGGAATGAGTTTGAAACGTGCAGTAATGTGTGTGTGTGTGTGTGTGTGTGTGTGTGTGTGTGTGCGTGCGCGTGCACTGTATCAAACTTGGAGCTGGAAGGAACCAGCTGACAGTTAACCATCTTAGTGGTTGGTGGTTTTAGGTGTGAGGCACAGTTAAATGTGTGAGATGCTGAGAGCTGCAGATCAATGGATCTTGAAAATCAATGTCTTTACTGTGATGTGAAGCTGATCCACCAGAGCTTAGAGCATGCAATGTGTATCATTGCCCATGTGGAAAGACAGGAGGAGGGAGTTGAGGGAAGTGCGCGTAGGTTCGTATGGTCCACCAGGGCTGGGCTCAGGAAATCAGGTGAAACAGCATGGTGAGATATGAAGCTAGTGAGGGGGTGACCCAAAGGAATGTGGGGTCCTCCAACCAGATTCTTTGGGAAGAGCAGGTTTGGCTTGATTTCTTACCCTCATTTGAGCAAAGCTGTCAACATGCTGTTGTCCTGCCTTGTTCACCAGGGATAATTCCCACTGTCTGGGACCTTGGATGTGACATGTACTCAGTAGATTATTAAAAAGTGGACCCACCTCTTGATAGTGAAGGAGATGGCCAAACATGGATATGAACATGCACAGTGAGAGAGGCAGGCCACAGTAGTCTCTAGTAGACTCTGGAGTCAACCCTGAAATATTCACTAGGAGGGAGGGAGACAATGGGTACACTAAAGGACGTGGGGCACTAAAGGACATGGGCACTAAAGGACGTGGGGACACTAAAGGACATGGGCACTAAAGGATGTGGGGACACTAAAGGACGTGGGGACACTAAAGGACATGGGACACTAAAGGACATGGGGCACCAAAGGACGTGGGGGCACTAAAGGACATGGGCACTAAAGGACGTGGGGACACTAAAGGACGTGGGACACTTAAGGACGTGGGGACACTAAAGGACGTGGGGACACTAAAGGACGTGGGGCACTAAAGGACATGGGGGACTAAAGGACGTGGACACTAAAGGACGTGGACACTAAAGGACGTGGGCACTAAAGGATGTGGGGGCACTAAAGGACGTGGGACACTAAAGGACGTGGGGCACTAAAGGACGTGGGGGCACTAAAGGACGTGGGGCACTAAAGGACGTGGGGACACTAAAAGACGTGGGGACACTAAAGGACATGGGGACACTAAAGGATGTGGGGGCACTAAAGGACGTGGGGACACTAAAGGACGTGGGGACACTAAAGGACGTGGGCACTAAAGCATGTGGGGGCACTAAAGGACGTGGGGACACTAAAGGACGTGGGGACACTAAAGGACGTGGGCACTATAGGATGTGGGGGCACTAAAGGACGTGGGACACTAAAGGTCGTGGGGCACTAAAGGACGTGGGGCACTAAAGGACGTGGGGGACTAAAGGACGTGGACACTAAAGGACGTGGACACTAAAGGATGTGGGGGCACTAAAGGACGTGGGGACAGTAAAGGACGTGGGGACACTAAAGGACATGGGCACTAAAGGACGTGGGGACACTAAAGGACGTGGGGGACTAAAGGACGTGGACACTAAAGGATGTGGGGGCACTAAAGGACGTGGGGGCACTAAAGGACGTGGGGACACTAAAGGACGTGGGGACACTAAAGGACATGGGCACTAAAGGACATGGACACTAAAGGACGTGGGGACACTAAAAACGTGGACACTAAAGGATGTGGGGGCACTAAAGGACGTGGAGATACTAAAGGACATGGGCACTAAAGGATGTGGGGGCACTAAAGGACGTGGGGATACTAAAGGACATGGGCACTAAAGGACGTGGGGACACTAAAGGACGTGGGGACACTAAAGGACATGGGACACTTAAGGACATGGGGGACTAAAGGATGTAGGGGCACTAAAGAACGTGGGACACTTAAGGACGTGGGGACACTAAAGGACATGGGCACTGAAGGACTGGGGACACTAAAGGACGTGGGGGACTAAAGGACATGGGCACTAAAGGACATGGGCACTAAAGGACGTGGGGGACTAAAGGACTTGGGGGACTAAAGGACGTGGGGGACTAAAGGACTTGGGCACTAAAGGACTTGGGGGACTAAAGGACGTGGGGGACTAAAGGACTTGGGGACTAAAGAACTTGGGGGACTAAAGGACGTGGGGGACTAAAGGACGTGGGGGACTAAAGGATGTGGGGACACTAAAGATGTGGGTGTTTTTTACAGCCACAACCTTTTTGCTACATGTTTCCTTTTAAGTTGATGATTCCTGGGAAAGGCATAAGAAAACAAAGTGCATTATTCATAGTGAAAAATGTTAGATCGATTAAAATGACCAAATGTGGGGCCTTTGGGATGGCTTAGTGGCTAAAGGGACTTGCGCCAAGCCTGAAGTCCTGGGGTCCATTCCTAGGACCCACATGGTGAAAGCAGAAAATCAGTCCCTGCAATTTATCTTCTGAACTCCATATTACACAGACACTCACACACACATACATACACATATAAATACACACATATATTCTACATACATACATGTAAAAATTGTGAAAGGGCAAGTAGTACATATATTTTCATAAACCATAATGAGGAGGCCAGTTCCAAGACCATGTTCTTAGTAGCAGGGTTTGAGAGGGATTCACATAGGCTATTTTGCAGTGATAACCACCCGTACCCTGGGCTTAGAGCCAGGAAATGGAACCTGCTTTCCCTGTGGGACCTTGTGGAGGATGTGTTCTCGGGCTCCACCAGCCCTGCAGGGTCAAAATCTGCATCCTAACCAGACCCCCTGGTGTGTGTGTAGACCTTCACCTTGGAGCACACACGGACCCTCTGCCAGGCCCTGCTAGCTGCATCTCCACTGATCTTTGAACTTTTACTTCCAGAGAGCGCCATACCTTGTTTTACTGCAGCAACTCTGGTTTTGGGACACTGCACACAAAACACAAGGAGAGAAAATGAAATCCTGAGAAATGTGAACAGGGAGCCACGAGTGGAGCAGCCCCGCCCAGCACCCTGTTGGAACTCCAGCAGCTCTGAAACCCTCGGCTCCCTCCCATCCCCGTCTTCATGAGTCCCAGCCTTTTCATCCAGGTTCTTATCAAGATGGCATGAAAGAGGAGAAATGGCTTTTTTCCCAAACCCCCAATTAGTAATACAGAAGTGGTAGTAATTGAATCAGCAGTCCTGAAGTGAGCCGAGAGAAGAAATGATGATTATTACCATATCTGATTAAAGTAACAAGATAATTCAGGCAGATAAAATGTAATTAACCACTTTGGAATGTGCCCAAGTGATGATGGCTTGCCCCCTCCTGTTCTGTGACCTTAAATTAATTCCTGCTGGGGTTTCTCCCTTGTGATGCTTAATAGCTTAAAATCATGATGATAGGTTTCTCTGTGTTTGTGGAGGTTAAACAAACACGCCAGGATCGAATTCCTTTAACAGAGGGGCTCCTGCTCACCACTTGGGTTTGAAGCGTGGAGTGTTCTGGGGTGCCATCTGAGAAGGGACAATGTGAGGGGCAGGATTTGTCAAGGCCATGGTCAATTGTTAGTGCTGAGTCCTGAGCAGCAGGAGCTCCTGCTACCTGTGACAGGAAGTAGACTATAAGGAAATGTGCTACACAATATAGCCTCGACCTTCTTCATCTCTCAGGCTTTTTGGAAGCAGCTCCTGGTCAGTGTGGTGGCCTGGACTGCTAGCAGAGGGGACAACATCAGTTCACACAGTAGCCAGACACTGACCATGGCACAGTGATGAGGGTATTGGGAGAGATGGGTCATTTTGCAGGCATTCTCCTTCCTGATGTCAACATACAGCTTCCAGCCAATGGGCTCTTTGAGAAACGGCAGCCTAATTGTTCAATGACAGATACCAAGCGAGTTAGGTGTAGTCACTGACAAAGACTATTTGTAACCATAGGAACAAGTTTGCAATGTGATCTTAGGTTTCAACAGTGTATGAGTTTTGTGATTACAATGTGAGCGAATCCAAAACCCTTAAACTAAACCCCAAAGAATACAAAAGACAGCAGCGTGCTGTCTGTGGGTACACAGTTGTTACAGAATTTTCCCATTCTCATTTGAAAAGTTTGCTTTCCAAATTTCATAATGTGCTTTAGAATTCTTTAAAACCAGAAGAGGAAGGAGTGGAGAGCTAGCCCAGGCAGGAGAAGGCTTGCTGCACATGCCTGAGCTAGACCTGAGTCTGTCCCAGCGCTCATGTAAAAACATAGCGTGCTGGCTATGCTAGTGTCTACACACAAACCAAGTTTTCACCTCCAATGGAATAAGAGTTTATTTTGGGGGCAAATCTGAGTGATCATGGCCCAGGAACACATATTTAGGTTTCCAAATTTCATTTTCCAAGATGGAAGCAGTTTCATGAAGTTTTTTTTTTTTTTTTTTTTTTTTTTTTTTTTTTTTTTTTTTTTTATTGTAACAGAACAAAATAAGTCAAAAATCAGGGCATTTAAAAAATACCTTGGTAGAAATATCAGAGAGGTAGGTTACAACCAGGTGGGAGAATTTTAACTATAGGCCTCAGATGTTATAGAAAACATTCTTAGCTCTTCCACCTGGGGGAGAGTAGGGTTTTGTTAAGTTACTAAATCCCAAAGTTTTTTTTTTTTTGTTTTTTTTTTGTTTTTTTTTTTTTTTAATGAGGATCTTAGGTCTGGCAGAGGTGGACAAGGACTGGCTTTTTATGGGGCTAGTGGTAGCCCAAGAGCAACTGGAATTAGGTTCTGCAACTGCAGCCTTCCAGTTTCTCTACAGTCAGCGAGGTTTTAATGAGTCAGTCCACGTGGACAGCTTCCTTCTGGAAAGGCTTGCTCACAAGTGTAAGCCTAGCATTGGTAGAGACAGGAGATCCCTGGAATCACTGCTAGTCAGCCTAGCCTGTTTAGAGCCCTCTAAGCCAACGAGAGACCCTGCCTTAAAAGACAAGGATCCTGAGAAGCAAACCTTTCCACTAACCTCTGTTTCCACACACCTGTGCATACACATGCACTGGAACACAGATGCATATGTGCCCACGCCTGCACACAAGCCCACATGTGCACAAATGGTCACCTTTGCTCCCTGGTATGTACAAAACTGGATTGCGTAGTTTGTCCCTTTGCAATTGTTCAAGAACCCTGTGTCAGGTCAAATTCCAACAAACTAATTTAGTTCAACAAAATCCATATTGTAGAGCCTGTTAAAGCAAGGATTTGCTTTGCTTTGTTTTTTCCTTTTTATTCCAAAGCACATGTGGGAAGTGGCTTCATTTTTCTTATAGGGGATGCAGGTCCATAGCTATGGCATAGGTCTGTCTCCAGAAAAATGGGGCAGAGACATAATAATGTAGCTTCAGTTATTTGCAAGCAACTGGCTAGGAGAGCAGACGGACCGGCAAGGAACTCTCAGCACTTGCACCCCTGTGAACCTCAATGTGCTGCTGGAAGCTGTAGAAAATATTAGGAGCTTATGTGACCTGTCATTTTGAGAGCACTGATATTTTAGCAGAGGTCTTTTGCTTTGCACAAAATGAGTCACCTCATGTCCACGCGAGCTTGCTTGCACTTCAACCTGTGCCTATGGGAAGGAGCAGGGCCTCTCTGATGATACAGAAAAGTGATAGTCGCTTACGTGTATGTTAGGAATTCTGGGAAGACATCAGCTCCGATTATCTGTTTAAAATATGAGCATCAAGGCCCAGGGCAGTGGGAGGACCTGAAAAAGGTCATCTGCTTTCTCAGAATTACAGCCTTGCCCCTCTTCTAACCCAATGATATTCTCAAAGGGCTTGCTATTTCTGCCTAAATTTTCTTGAGGATCTTTAAATATCCCTAGGTACTACACTGCAGTATGCCAAAAATTAAATATATATCTTATATTTCGCTCTCTCATATATATCTCTATCTATCTATCTATCTATCTATCTATCTATCTATCTATCTACCTATGATTATCCCATGTCTCTCCCCTTGATGTGCATAAACAATGATGTGTACAAAACAATCCAGACCAGTTACAGACCAACTCTGTGCGGTCGCCATTGCACAGCCTGTCCAACCAGGTCTCCCCTCTGGCTAAGCTGAATTCTTCATGTTAGAACTTCAAGTTAGAAGTTAGAACTTCTTCCTCTTGTCCATTCTCGTGTTGAACATTCTTGTTAACGAGCTTAGACTATTGATTTCACTGCAAGTAAGTCAGTGATGCTGTCCCATTTTGTGCGTGTGTGTGTGTGTGTGTGTGTGTGTGTAGATTTTAATGGAGACAAAGCAAATGGAGCAAGCCTTTCAAAAGAGAAAAATTTCCTGATTTTCTTGTAGGCATCCATTTTATGCTGGAGCATGCAAAAGGCTTCAAACAAGTATAGAACTGAGCATCCAGTGCTCATTATATTTCATTTTCCCAGGCCACAGGATCCCATGTTTCCACTCTACCAAGAAGGCTTTAGAGGACTGTAAAGGAGAACAGAGCATTTAGAAGGTTGCAAGCTGCTGGCGTGACTGCCTCAGGCTGACTGTCTCTGCCCGTTTATATTTTCAGAACTGGATGTAAAGAGCTCATGGTAGCCTTCATTTTTGTGTCCTGTACACTCCTCTGCTGCCTGGGAAGCTGGACCAGCATATGAAAGCCAAGTGCTTCAATTGTTCTGAGCTTTCAAAACAATCAGTGAAATGTAGTCGGTGCTGAATGCTGGGATTGTATTTCTGCTTATTAACCTTGAAGTTTGCCTGCCGATTTAAGGCGAGAACTTTTCATGAAAGGTCTCTGTTGTGCATGGAAGCCTGGGATGAGAGCGGTGAATTAGGTGCAGAGAGACACAGCGTTATGTTTTGAAGTCTGGGAACATTATCGTAGCACAGACAGGAAAAGGATTTCTGTTGCAAGGTGTAACGTGGGCCCTCATCTTTTATTTTATTGCTTATTTTGTCTTTGCGTTGTGCTGGTTCAATCAAAAACCTATGTAAACATGAATATCTTCTGTTAAAAGCCAGTGTGAGAGCTGGGCAAGAATGTTCAAAGCATGAGTTCAATCCTTAATACTGCCAAAGGGGAAAAATCACTGCGGGGCTGCAGATGATGATAATTTAGCCTCTGTCTTTTGTTTATTCGTTTGTATTTTTTTTTTTAAATGTGAGGATCACATCACTTATGTAACAGTAGAGGAATGTTGATTCCTGGTTGTTGCTTTTCTTTTCAGCTACTCGGTGACTGTGCAGGAGTCATACCCACATCCCTTTGATCAGATTTACTACACGAGCTGCACCGACATCCTGAACTGGTTTAAGTGCACACGGCACAGGTAACGGAAGCCTGGATTTGTTTGTGCGCTCGCCTGTGTGCAAATGCAGTCCTGACACAATCAGAGGCCCCAGCTACTTGAGAAAGTGCATCCACGCACCCACCCAGAGAGCAGTCGCTGAGGGCTTAGATCCCAACTCCGGGGGGGGGGGGGCACCAAAAGGGTGACATGGTTCATTATCTTTGTGAACTTACAGTCTAGCTGCAGATGACACAATTACTGTTCTTCCTCTGGTTAGAAAAACCTCATCTAGCTCCTGTATAGAGGTTGACTGGGAGAGACACATTTTTTTTTTAAATTATTTATTCTTTGAGAATTTTATACAGCATGTTTTTATCATATTTTCCCATCCCCCATTTCCCTTCAGATTCCGTCTACAAACTTCATATTATTTCTCTCTCTTAAAAAATCCAAACAAACAAAACAGGAAAAAACAAAATATACTAAAAAAGCTTGGAGTCCAATGAACACACATAAGACCTGCGCAGGCTCAAGCTGGTCGAAATCCCAGCAAAGGGATGGGGAAGTGGGCACAGAGTCCCATCCCACACAAGAATTGTTTGCAAGTCCTATCTGCTGAGACAGGGGAAATCTGTTGTCTTAAATGTATCGATACTGGGTGTGTCAACTATACTCCAGGACAGGCCCCATGCTCGGGAGAAGTCTGCCAGCACAAACTGGAGACATTTTCCCCTTGGCCATCACCAGATACCCAGAAACTCATGCCTCAGTGTCTGTTTCTGGTTGGATATTTGACTCAGTTTATGTTGAAATTTAGTATTTAAATGAGATAGACTATCTATAATCCATGAGAAAACAGAGCCCAAAACATCAGTACTTGTCATGAAGGGAATTCTAGTACCTTACTTCTCTTAGTTAAGTATTGATAGTATCATAAATTATGGGTTGATTGTGGTACCTCTCATTTTATGATCTAGTTATTTGTTTGGTATCTTCCTTCTTTCCTCCCTCCCTCTCCCCCCCTTCTTTCCTCCCTTCCTTCCTTTTTTTTTTTTTTTTTTTTTTTTTTTTTTTTTTTTTTTTTGAGAAAGGGTTTCTCTGTGTATCCCTGACCAGGTTGGCCTCAAACTCAGAGATCTGCCTGTCTCTGCCTCCTGAGTGCTGGGATTAAAGGCATGTGCCACCATGTCCAGCTGATAAGTTTCTTTATTAAACAGATTTTACATTCTCTATCTTAACTTTCTAGAAGTATAAGTTCTAAGAAGAGAAATAGAAAGTCTTTATATTATTTTGCTTGCTGACATTCGTTCCTTAGTTCCTAAAATAGTGCCTGCAATGTGCTAAATGCTAAGGAATGTATGTATTTCTTAAATCAGTGAATGAATGGGCTTCATTAAATTATATGGTAAAATTAGTCTTCTATTTTATAGCAGGATGACACTATGTTGAATTTTAAAAGGAAGCTCATGAATTCTTCCTTTGAAACATAAGTGAATGATACCTAGACAGGTATCATATATTAAATCAATCAATACTTTGCATCTATTTCCAGGTAGTTGAAGTAGGGAAATCACAGCACTTCTGATGCCTTGCAATAAAGATCGGATTGACTGGCATTGGGAATCCTCTTTAGCATCTTAATAATGAACTGTAATAGTCTTGGTCAAGCCTATATTCTTTTTATATCCTTCTTGTTTTGAGACACTTTGCTTTTTATACCTTTATTATGGCTGATAGCTATTTTTGTTAAAGCAGAGATCATTCCTTATTAGCTTGATAATCAGAGCTAATTTTGCAATCTTTTGCCTTCATACAGAATCAGTTACCGGACGGCCTACCGCCATGGGGAGAAAACTATGTATAGGCGGAAATCGCAGTGCTGCCCCGGATTTTATGAGAGCCAGGACATGTGTGTCCGTAAGTAAGGTGTCCATTCTTCATGCTGTTCTTTCATGTCTAGTGCTGCCTCTGGGAGTGGCAACTGAGCTGGGGACCTTGGAAATAGGATGTTTGAAATGCTCCCCTTTGCGCCCTGTCTGTTGGGCTCTTGGCTTGTATCCTGCAAAAAACTTTAACTTGGTTCCCAAATCTGCTGTGGGACAATGGTTTTGCCCTGTAAAGATTTGTTTCTTGTACTTGTTTAATAAATGCTGATTGGCCAGTAGCCAGACAGGAAGTATAGGTGGGGTGACCAGGCAGGAAATAGAGGCAGGGCAATGAGAATTATGGGAATAGGAAAGTTTCAGTCTTCAGTTGTAACCTAGATGCAGAGGACACAGATATGACTGCCTTGTCGAAAAAGATACCAAGCCACGTGGCTAACTCAGACAAGAATTATAGGCTAATGTAAGTTATAAGAATTAGTTAATAAGAAGCCTGAGCTAATGGGCCAATAAGTTTATGATTAATGTAGGCCTCTCTGTGATTTCTTTGGGACTTAATGGCTGCGGGAACTGGGCAGGACAGAAAACTCAGTCAACACAAGTCCTATCAAAACTCTTCAGATGAGGGGCTGGAGAGATGGCTCAGAGGTTAAGAGCACTGGCTGCTGTTCCAGAGGTCCTGAGTTCAATTCCCAGCAACCACATGGTGGCTCACAACCATCTGTACTGAGATCTGGCGGCCTCCTCTGGCGTGCGGACATACATGGAGGCAGAATGTTGTATACACAATAAATAAACAGCTGTACAGAAGATGATGTAAGGCTGGATGTGGCCTTGTCAACTGTCATTTCAGCTGGAATTTGGTTAGGAGTCTCTGAGCTGAAGTCACAGAAGAGAGCAGGAGCATCGTTCTCCTGCTGCAGCTAACTTCCGAGGGGCCAGTGTGCTTTTCTATGTCACAGAAAGATGAAGAGATGGGTCCAGGGCACACAGCACAAGTGCGTGTTTACTGGCATTTTCCTTCCCTGTCGCAGAACCCCCACTTGACTCTGAGATATCTTGGGAGAAGCCTAGAGTTTATAACATTTTCTGAAGACTCTAGATCTCTTGGGATGCTGCTACAGTGGCGCTTTCGTAGTATTACTATGCAAAAGTCACTTAGAAGAGAGATCATGAAGAACTATCTAATTCAAGCGTTGTGGTTCAACACCCAGCTGTACAGCAACTCCCACTCCTGAGCAGAGGCACTGATATTGAGGCGAGCAGAGACAAATGATGTGGGAGTGTCATATATCAATCTGTTGATTTCATTGGTTAAGCAATAAAGAAACTGCTTGGCCCTCATAGGTTAAAACATAGGTGGGAGGAGTAGACAGAACAGAATGCTGGGAGAAAGAAGCTGAGTGAGAGAGTTGCCATGATTCTCCCACTCCAGGCAGACGCAGGTTAAGATCATTCCTGGTAAGCCAGCTCGTGGGCTACAGCAGATTATTAGAAATGGGCTAGTCCAGGTGCGAGAGCTAGCCTAGAAGAGGCTAGATAGAAATGGGCCAAGCGGTGTATTATTTCGCAGCATAAGCTAAGCTAGCCGTGCTGGCAGCCGGGTGCCGGGGACGCAGCCCGCCGCTCCTACTACTACAGACAAAGGTCTGCTGTAATCTTGGAGGCAGCGAAGATGCCTGATGGGTCTGAAGGGACGGTCCTAGCTCTGCCAACCAACTGCTCAGCTGGGTGGCCTCAGAGTCATCATCTGTACCTCTAGGAGATCCCTTATGCTCCTTCTTGGCTCAGAGAATGGGGGCGGGGAGCTAAATCTTAATGCAGACATTAGTAGCTCCCCAACTTTGGTTCAGAACTGTCACTATATCTATTGACAGATGCTCATGGCAAACAAAAATACTATATGGAATTAACAAAAAGGAAACAGAAACAGAAGTACACAGTGCATGGCTTGCACAGGCAGTAAATATCCTCTGAAACCGGCAATGCGTTGTTGTGCTGTAGATAGTTCTAAATTAAACTCGTGTGACTATGTACATGATCTCTTAGTTGTCTCTATTATGAACTGCTCTGCAAGCTGTCCCTGTACTTAAATAATTCATTTCCTAAATCAGTTAAGTCCAAATTCCTAGAAGTAGAATTGCTAAGCCAGAGGTGTGCACATCTGGAGGTATAGACACAATCAGAAAGTGAGAATGCCCGTTAGCATACACTCCCTGACAAGTTTTGTTCCTAATTTGCATATCTTTGATGAATGAGGATGGTGGATAAGGAAAATTACATGTTTGTGATCAAATAGAATAATCAGCAGCTGATGTCATTGGCCTCAGCTGATGAGAAGCTGTCAGAAGAAAGACTGGGAATACAGTGGAGGGTGGAGGCCTTACTGACTGGGCTGGCCATCCTCCAAGGATGTGGGTGACATGATTTTGGTGCCCTTAGTTAGGGTTCAGTCTAACAGACACAATTGTCAACCCACACTGAGAATACTTCTGTTCCCAGATCGTAGGACTCGTGAATAAAGTCGCAATGCTATTACTCTGCACAGAGCTTGGGGTTGTGCAGGCCTTATCTCTGGCCATAACTTCCTTCCTGGAATGCCTGCATGAAGGAAATGAGATCCAATAGGCCAGCTAGTTGTGTGGGAAGTATGGACCCAAACAGGATCAGTTAGAGAGTGCCACTCAGTGTTTCATGACCACAGCTGCAAATCTATGAGTTTATCTTGCCTGGAATGATGCTGGCAAAATATCAACCCTTTTCTTCTCCTAGACTCATATAATGTGTCCCCCAGGCTATGTGAATGACACCTTTAGCAATTGCTTCTAAAATCTTTTTTCTTGGCCTTCTTAGCTTACCTACTGTCCCTATAGGCAGAAAAAAAGTTGTTTTTTTTTTCCTTTTAGATATGTTAATGTATTTAATCAGCTTACTGTCTGCTTTCAGCAGCCTGGGAGCTATTTGGCTTTTTTTTAGGGCAGTTTGCACTTATAAGCTGTGATGTCTTATTTGGTTGTTGAATGCCCTGAAAAGAACTGACTTCTCTCTTGATTGTGATGAAGGATGCCTTTCCCTGCAACAACTGGTCTGCATTCTATACCCCTGGGCTAGCTAGGTACCACTGTGGAGACAGCAGGGAGACAGAGGATAGTGTTCTTGGTGCTACTGTTGTGATCATGCAGATAGCATGATAGTCATTTTTTTTTTATTGAGAAAAGGAGAAAAAAAACAAGTTTCCACCTCCTCCCAGCCTCCCATTTCCCTCTTCCTCCTCCCACCCTTCTCCCCCTCCCCCCACTCCTTTCCCCCTCCCTCTCCAGTCCAAAGAGCACTCAGGGTTCCCTGCCCTGTGGTAAGTCCTAGGTCCTCCCCCTTCTGTCCATATCTAGGAAGGTGAACATCCAAACTGGCTAGGCTCCCACAAAGCCAGCACATTAAGTAGGATCAAAACCCCGTGCCATTGTCCTTGGCGTCTCATCAGCCCTCATTGTTTGCCATGTTCAGAGAGTCTGGTTTTATCCCATGCTTTTTCAGTCACAGTCCAGCTGGCCTTGGTGAGCTCCCAGTAGATCAGCTCCACTGTCTCAGTTGGTGGGTGCACCCCTCGCGGTCCCGACTTCTTTGCTCATGTTCTCCCTCCTTCTGCTCCTCATTGGGACCTTGGGAGCTCAGTCCAGTGCTCTAATGTGGGTCTCTGTCTCTATCTCCATCCATCACCAGATGAAGGTTCTATGATGATATGCAAGATATTCGTCAGTATTGCTCTAGGATAGGGTCATTTCAGGTTCACTATCCTCAGCTGCCCAAGGAACTAACTGGGGACCTCAGCTTGGGCTCCTGGGAGCCCCTCTAGAGTCAAGTCTTTTGCCCACCCTAAAGTGGCTCCCTTAACTAAGAATTGTGCTTCCGTGCTCCCCTATCCAACCTTCCTTTATCCCAATCCTCCTGTTTCCCCAAGTCCCCCCCACCTTCCCTTCTACCTTTTCTCTCCCCATCTCCCCTTACCCCCAGCCCACCCCACCCCCAAGATCCCAATTTTTTTCCCCGGCAATTTTGTCTACTTCCCTTAGCCAAGAGGATAACTATATGATTTTCCTTGGGTTCACCTTCTTACTTAGCTTCTTTAGGTTCACCAATTGTAGACTCCGTGACCCTTATTTATGGCTAGAAACCAATTATGAGTGAGTACATCCCATGTTCATCTTTTTGGGTCTGGGATACCTCATTCAGGATAGTGTTTTCTATTTCCATCCATTTGCATGCAAAATTCGAGAAGTCATTGTTTTTTACCGCAGCGTAGTACTCTAGTGTGTATATATTCCATAACCCCAGAAGCACAGACTTTAAGGGCAACATTGAATAAATGGGACCTACTTAAACTGAGAAGCTTCTGTAAAGCAAAGGACACTGTCACTAAGACACAAAGGCAACCTACTGACTGGGAGAAGATCTTCACCAACCCCGCAACAGACAAAGGTCTGATCTCCAAAATATATAGAGAACTCAAGAAACTAGACTTTAGAATGCTAATTAACCCAATAAAAAATGGGGCACTGAACTGAACAGAGAATTCTCAACAGAAGAAGTTCAAATGGCCAAAAGACACTTAAGGTCATGCTCAACTTCCTAAGCAATCAGGGAAATGCAAATCAAAACGACTTTGAGATATCATCTTACAACCGTCAGAATGGCTAAAGTCAAAAACACTAAGGATAGCCTTTGCTGGAGAGGCTGTGGAGGAAGGGGTACCCTCATCCATTGCTGGTGGGAATGCAATCTTGTGCAACCACTGTGGAAGTCAGTGTTTCGGTTTCTCAGGAAATTCGGGATCAACCTACCCCTGGACCCAGCAATACCACTCTTGGGAATATACCCAAGAGATGCTCTATCATATGACAAAAGCATTTGTTCAACTATGTTCATAGCAGTATTATTTGTAATAGCCAGAACCTGGAAACAACCTAGATGCCCTTCAATGGAAGAATGGATGAAGAAAGCATGATAATCATTTTTAACTGTTCCCAGAAAGGAGAG